AAAAAAAAAAAAAACTCTAAAGTGTGTTGGCAGGTAAAGTACACCTGGAATACCTGTCAATTCACAGTCTGTTTTGCCATTTATACAAAAGCAAAATTTTCCAGTTAATTTGATCAATGTGGCATCGCCTGATGGTAATAAGCCTGCCGGTGGTTCTGACATTTCGCGCATCGTCTGAGGGGATTGCCAACTCAGTGGTTCTCCTAACAGAAGTACTTAATCCGAGTTATCAAAACCCAGGTTAAGCGTTCCCTTCGTCAATGACGTTTGAGGTGCTCAGTGCTTTGTGTTTCATCCAGAAACCCCTAGGATAATTTATCTGAATCGTGCCACTGATATCAAAGCTATGATTCTATCCCAATAAAAACGAAGTGTGATGAGAGCTTTCATCGGCGCGAATAAAAAATAACACTTTGTATGGCAGGATGAGCAACTGTGAGAGATAAATGATTTCAGGCCAGCGTAGAATGAGGGAAGAGCAGCTACGCATATGCCTCAGTGAGTGAACGAGGGAAAAAGTCAAACCCATGTTAAAGAATTGGTATCTTCGCCGTCAACCAGAAGGCCACAGATAATAATATGCGAAATTCGACATTCATCACAGGAGCAGTGCCGCTGAGAACACTTCTCGCATTGCATCGACGGCAGCAATTCGCCGCTCTCATCTGAAATCATGCATATCCGATGACTCATCGTCCAGATGAGACCTGTGTGCCGATATTTCCCCCAAAATCCGAAACAAACACGCTGTGCGCATGCTGGGGGTCCTCTGCTGTACTGTGTTGGGGATTTATATTCCAGTCAGTTCTGTTCAATTTCAAGTTTCTGAAAAACTCCAGCACGTCACAACGAAATGTAACGAACGACATAAGCAGGAACAAAACTGGGCACAAACAACCTAAATACAGAGTGTAAGCAAAAAGGAATTTTTTAAAATAAGAAACTAACCAATGCATAAAGAGGTGGGGGGTCCTTCTTCAACCAGTTCGTGCAGCCGCCTTGATATATCAATCTCGTCCGCTTCTGAATCGGTATCATCACTGCAAAATATACGCATACAATAACACCTCTGAGACAAATGAATGTAGAAATCAGCTATTCATGCACTCTTTTCAAATAATTTATAAAAATCGAAGAAAAATGAAAATGCAAGAGCATGCGCTAACGAACGACGTTTTTGGCATTACTCTGGCCAGATGTTTGCTGCTAAGCAAGCTGTTAACATGCATACAGTTCAGGAACATCTTAATCGCTTTCTCTATCTCCAAGTTCCTCTTAATGCGCAACCATGAACCCTAGTGGCTTTTGGACATCAAAAACGCAGAGAAATTTCACAGAAAGTAGAACTGGAATTGGGAAATGAAAAAACGAAACAGCTGATTTTCGATAATGTGGTATTACACACGACCAAATTTTAGGTTCTTCATTCTTCTCAAGATGAATGAAAAAGTGGGCAGGATATGGGCTAAAATTCAAAAATCAAGGGAAATGGGAAGCTGATTTGTGAACCACTGCTGGTTAATAATGGACCTGCCAAACTTTCCAGATTCACTAATTACAATGATTCTGAATCACCACAGTGAACGCAACTGAGCTCGCAGCTCGAAAACCAATGGAACTTAATGGACTGATAACGAGATTTTGCGGCGAGGTCTTGAAAGAGGG